GGAAGAGGAGTTGATAGTGTCAGGAGATATTGGAAAAAATGTGTATTGCTTGATGCAGCTGAGGAACTTTCTATTCCCCACCCTGTAAACAAGTAGTTTATTGTGACATTGGGATTCTGTTGCAAACAACTTGAAGTTATCTTGCCCCACACTGCCCATCCTTTCTCCTTTTCACCCATTTCTCGCCAAATCACAGGACTGTTCATGCAAGAGATGCAATGGAGCAAACCTGTCATGTGAAAGTTGGTCGTTATTTTTAAGTGTTTAAATGTTTATATTGTAATGAGTGGGTAAATAAATGTTTCCAGTTTAATGTAGATTATTGTAAAGTTTTGAATCTTTAATAAATTTCCAATTTGAAGTGTAACTTTAGGGGAAATCCATCTAGATAACCCACTTTTGATTATCAAGCGAACCTGGGATGGAGAAACTGAGGTGACTTTTAAAATTTTTAAAAAAAAAAAAGCAAAAAAATGTTCACAGAACTATTATTTTCAAACTTTAACAGGTTTTGTACTTGGTTATGGTTGAATTTTTTTTTTAAGTCTGTATCTTTTGTTAGTATTAGTGTATCTTTTTTTTTCTTTCTCCCTTCCTAGTTTTCAGTGTAAATAGAATCTTCTTCCCCTTGCGCACTCAAAGTTTCTTGGAATTTCGACCAGATAGTTCTATATACTGTTGTAATTAAATCAGAATTAGTGTATGTAGTACTGCCTTTTCAGATATGTTACCTTTTGTATGGTGTATAAAATTGAAAGCAGCTTTAAATATTTATAAATAAAGATAATATATAATTAAAATGAGCCTCTTTCCCATCCATCTGTTTAGTTTCTTTTTTCAATTTCTTGCCTTTTTGTCTTTCCTCTGTCTTTCTCACACTAAAGTCTGACACTTTTTCTACCATGTCTTTCATGTTCACTCTTATACAGTATATCTTTCTGCTTTCTAATGGACTCGACCTCTTGTTTCCTTTTTAATTGTTACAGATCCTTTAATTGCTCTGTACTCTCTCACTCCCCTTCTGTGCACACATCTTCCTTTTTCTCATTCACTTCCTTTCACGTGCACTCTTTCCCTTCCTATTATGCCTTTTTTATTTTGTTGTTCTGGACACACTAGCAAACACAAAATTACTAGTTCACTTCATACTGCAGAAGTGATCTGGTGTGCTGCTGCAGAGTCCCTTTTTTACAAGGTCAAAAAACCACATGACACCAGGTTATAGTCCAACAGGTTTATTTGAAAACGCAAGCTTTCGGAGTGTCTCTCCTTCAGGTGCTCTGAAAGCTTGTGTTTTCAAATAGACCTATTGGACTATAACCTGGTGTCGTGTGGTTTTTGACCTTGTCCACCCTGGTCCAACTCCGGCACCTCCACATCATGGCTACCTTTTGTTACAGTGTTAAAGAGTGACAGAAGATCACTGTAAGTGACTTATTATTTGCATTGCGAGCATTGACCTGTAAGGTGTGTAGTCCTGCAGCAGTCTAGAACCTAATGTGCAGGGGGACAGATGAAGTGTGCACAAGATGGTGTGCAGCAGTCTTAAAGGGACCAGTGCAGTGTAAAAAAAAAAACAAGGCATGCACAGCAAAGAAGACTTGGACAGAACACTGATAGAGTTCCACTTTACGCAAAGGGAAATCAGAAGTGAATTTGACATAATTCCTTTGTTTTTCACAATAACTGTGCAGGATGTGGTCCAACGGAATCCGAATCCACTGCATGTTCACCTGAGCAAGCTGACCACTCATCGTTTGACATGTCACTTGAAAAACAGTACTTCCAATCAAATGGTACTCCCTCTATAGAAGATTGTCAGGTTACTACCATTAGGAGTCAAACCTTCACTGCTCTGGACCCCATGTGTGGTTTTTTAAAATCTTGTTCCTGGCTCCCATCTTTTCCAAGTTGGTTCATGAAAAAAGCCCAAAGAATAATTGTCAAGAAAATGACAAACCGAAGAACAAGACTGCAAATCAAACAATATTTTTTACACTCTCCAAAAACAACATCAAAAACAGAAGTTACTGGAAAAGCTCAGCAGGTCTGGTAGCATCTGTGAAGAAAAAAAATCAGAGTTAACGTTACAGGTCCGCTGACCCTTCCTCAGAACAGAGTTAACTCTTTTGGGTTTTAATAGTTTTTACACTGTCAAGCTTCAAAATTGTAAGGAACAAATTAAATAAGCTGGCAGGCACAGATTCAAACTAGAAACTATGATATAGTAGCCATAAAAACCAAAAGAACTGCAGATGCTGTAAATCAGAAATGAAAACAGAAAATACTGGAAAAGTCCAACAGGTCTAGCAGCATCTGTGAATAGAAATCAGGATTAATGTTTTGGGTCAACTGACCGTTTGTCAAAATTGAGGCCATTACAGAGACATGGCTGCAAATTGGTCAGTTCTCATTGTGGGGGTGGCGGGGTCAGACCTCAGTAGGGACCAGACCCTCCTGATTCTCAAATCTTGTTGATGTCCTAATTCTAGGGGCTGGTAACTTACCCCCTTTTTCAATCCTTTTCATCAACCCACTTGGGGGGAAAAACTCCTCACAATGTCAGAACAGCGATCACCCCCTTGGTAAATCCCAGCTTGAGGTCAGCTCACGTTCTGGAAGAAGAACTTTCGGTTTACCTTAAGCAACCAGGGGCAAAAGGCTTCAGTGACCTGATAATCTCCATTACTTTTATTTTTAACTTGCCATAAGTAGGCCATTCAGCCCACCATTCATTGAGATCATGGCTGATTTGATATTTCACAACTGGATTCCTGCCTTTTCCTCCTAACCCTTGATTCCCTTCTGGATTAAAAATCTTTTTCAGCCTTGAATATACTGAATGACCCACCATCTACAGTCTCTATGATAAAGAATTTCACAAATTCACTTCCCTCTGAGAGAAGAAATTCCTCCTTATCTCTATCTTTAGTGTGTGACCCTTTATTCTGAGATTATGTTCTCTGGTCCTAGGCACTACAACAAGGGAAAACAGCCTTTCCATGTCTATCCTTTCAGGTCCCTTTTTGTCCTTGTTTGTTAGAAATTAATTATATTTGAACAAATAGACATATATATTTCTTATAGGGATAGTCAGGAATAGTGAAGTCTGTAAATATATGCAACACATAGGACAGTCACCCGATGGAGATAAAGGGTAAATAAATTACTGTTTCTAAAAGCTATTGACTTATATACATAGGGATGGACAATAAAGTTGTTTCTACAGTACAGACATTCACCTACTACAACAGGTTGTCAGTAATCTGACACGTTACAGTGCTATTTTCCATTCATTAATGTAACAGAAAGAATCTAATGACATGTAGCAAGTTCTAAGCAGTTGTGAGCTGACTGACAGATCATCAGCATTTACAAGAGATCCCCAGGAGTGTGTTAGTATTTATGGGGGGATCCCTGGGGAGTGTGTCAGTACTTACAAGGAATCCCTTGGAGTACATCAGTATTTACAAGGTGACCCCGTGAGCGTGTCAGTATTTACAAGGGTTTCTTGTGGAGTGTATCAATATTTACTGAAGGTCCTGGGAGTTTCAGTATTTACAGGGAGAAGTGGCATCAGACACAGAATTTATAAGCAAAAGATCAAGCGGTCATAGAACTATTGAACAAATCTAAGACGGCTGTAAAATCTTTAATCAGTTAGAAAGGATTAATATGCAAATTCCAGAATTTCTTTCAAGTCACTGCCCTGAGATAATTAAAGGTTTTATCAGCTCCCTCCGTATACCAGAGATGACATCCCAGGTCAGACAGGCACTTTAGGTGTGAGGCTTTGTTTAGAATCTGGCTGCGTATTAACTTGGAATCAGACTGGTTTTATTTCCAAAGTAGGAATTTATAAAATGTCACACTGACTGTCTACAAATTGTGCACTTTTTCAACAAAATGGAACGTATCTGCAAATGCAAATTCCCCCTACGAGATTGATTTATATGTCTGTGCGTGTGTGTGTGTATGAGAGAGAGAGCCTGTGTGTGTATTTGTATGTGTGTATAGTGTGGTGGGGTCACCTGTAGTGCGACATGAACCCAAGATCATGATTGAGGCCGTCCTCGTGGGTACTGAACTTGACCATCAGCCTCTGCTCGGCGACTCTGTGTTGTTGTGTATCCCAAAGTCTGCCTTGAAGGATGTTTACCTGAAGATCTGAGGCCGAAAGTCCTTGACCGCTGAAGTGTTCCCCCACTGGGAGGGAACATCCCTGTCTGGCGATTGTTGCGCAGTGTTTATTCATCTGTTGTTGTAGCGTCTGCATCATTCGACAACATACCATGCCTTGGGACATTCCTGCGTCCAGCATATGAGATAGACAATGTTGGCAGAGTCACATGAATATCTGTTGTGCGTGAGGTGGGTGGTGTTCCCACATGCGATGGTAGTGTCCGTGTCGATGATCTGACATGTCTTGCAGAGGTTACCATGGCAGAGTTGTATGGCAATGTGGTCGATGTTGTCCTGAAGGCTGAGTAGTTTGCTGCAAACAATGGTCTGTTTAAGGTTTGGCACTTGTTTGAAGGTGAGAAGTGGGGGCGGAGGGAAGATCTTGGCAAGGTGCTTGTCGCCATTAATAACGTGTTGAAGGCTGTGAAGAACATGGCATAGTTTCTCCATTCCGGGGCAGCACTGGATGATGAAGGGTCCCTATTGGTCATATCTTGTATCTGTCTTCTGAGGAGGTCATTATGGTTTTTCACTGTGGCACATCAGAACTGGCAATTGATGAATTAAGCATTGTATCCTGTCCCATGAGAGTGTCCTTCAGCACCTTCTAGGTTTCGTTGTATTCCCCCTCATCTGAACAGATCCTATGTATACGTAGTGCTTGTCCATAGGGTTAGCTTTTTTAATATGTTTAGTGTGGAAGCTAGAGAAGGTTATCGTGAGGTTATCCATCGGCTTGCGGTAGAGTGAGTGATTCCTCGCCATGAGTCCAAAGGAAGAAAATGTCATCAATGCATCTGGTGTATAGCAATTGTTGGAGATCCTGTGCAGCAAGTAAGTCTTGTTCGAACTTGTGCATGAAAATGTTGGCATATTGGGGAGCAAATCTTGTTCCCTGGCTGTTCTTTGGGCTGTCGAAGGTGAAGATGTTGTGGTCGAGGATGAAGCGGATGTGTTGTAGGGTGGAGCCTGGAAATTGACAGTGATTGGTATTGAGTACTGAGCTGTGCCGTCATCGTGGGGGATGCTGGTGTAGAGTGCCGAAACGTCTATTGTGACAAGGAATGTTCTCGGTTAAATTGGTCCGTGGGTGCCGAGTTTCTGAAAGAAATCTGTAGTGTCACGACAGAAGCTGGGGGTTCCCTGTACAATGGGTTTTGAGATGCCCTTGACATAGCCAGAGAGGTTCTCACACAGGGTCCCATTGCCTGATACGATGGGGTGTCCAGATGTGTTGGCTTTGTATATCTTTGGAAAGCAGTAGAGCTCTCCTATGTGAGAAGTACGCGGGATGAGAGTCTGTAGGGTACTCTGAAGGACTGGACCAAAAGTCTTGATCAGCCTGTTGAGTTCACAGGAGTGTTCTTTGGTTGGATCAGCAGGTAATTGTCTGTAGTGTTCGTGGTTGTTCAGCTGTTGGTACACTTCCTTACAGTAGTCAGTTCTGTTCTGTATGATGATGGCTCCTCCTTTGTCTGCTGGTTTGATAACAATGCTGCGATTGGTCCTGAGAGCTTGGATGTTGTTGCATTGTGCTTGGGTGATGTTTTGTGCTACCTTGTGAGTGCAGCTGATGAATCTGGCATTTACACATTCTGTGATTGCTTGAGCATACATGTCAAGCCCAGGCAACGGCCCTCCAGAGGAGTTCAATTCGACTCCTTCTTTGGCCACTCCACCATGGATCTCTAGCAGTGGGTTAACATTCCCAGGGAGTCCCTGGAGTGGATCAGCATTTACAAATAGTCCGTAGGTGTGTGTCAGTATTATACAGCAGGGCTACAGGAGTGCCTCGGTCTTTACAAGTGGTCACCAGAACTATACCGGGGATCCCCAGGAATATGTCAGTATTTACAGATGGTCCAACTGTAGCATTGCATAGTCCAGTGAATTCAACATCGTGATTTATTGATGTTTTAAACCCTTTTTTATTTGCTTATAGGATGGGGGCATTGCTGACTGGACCAGTATTAATTGGTCATTTCCTAGTTGCCTTTGAGAAGGTGATGGTGAGCTGCCTCCTTGAACTGCTGCAGTTCATGTTCTGTAGCTTGATCCACAATGCCCTGAGAGAGTGAATTCCAGGATCTTGACCCAGTGACACTGAGGGTGATGTATTTCTAAGTCGGAATGCTGAGTGCATTGGAGGGAAACTTGCAGATAATGGTGTTCCTACATATCTGCTGCCTTTGTGCTTCGAGATTGGAGGAGTTATGGGTTGGATGGTGTTGTTTGAGGATCCTGGATGAATTTCTGCAATGCAACTTGTAAATAGTACACAGTACACAGTGCTTCAACTGAGCTTGGAGGGAGTTGATGTTTGTGGATATGGTGCCAGTCAAGGGGCTGCTTTGTCCTGAATGGTGTCGAGCTTCTTGAGTGTTGTTGGAGCTACACTTATTCAGGCAAGTGGGAAGTATTCCATTACACTCCTGATTTGTACCTTATAGATGGTGGACAGGCTTCAGGGAGTCAGGAATTGAGTTACTCTCTGATCTGTGGTCCATTTTCAAGAGGGGGCAGTAGCCTAATGAATGGGAACTGAGGGAAGTTGAAGGGAATGATACTTAGTTGTTTGTTAGCTCGTTGAGCTGTTGTTCTGTGGTGTGCAGACATTTTGTTACCCTTCTAGGCGACATCATCAGTGCACATCTAATCGCAGTGTTGGTGTTCTGTTTCTTTCTGGATTTATACGATGTCTGGTGAGATGGTCTTGTCACTTCTGGTTCTGTCGTTTTAGCAGTGGTCTCTATATGGGGTCTATTTCCATGTCTTTGTTAATGGAGTCCCGTGTTGAGAACCAGGCTTCCAGAAATTCTCTTGCATGTCTGGTGTTCGCTTGTCCCAGTATGGTCACTTTGTCCCAGTCGAATTGATGGCCCCCATTGTCTGTGTGTATTGAGACAAGTGAATAGTGGTTGTGTCTTTTTACTGCCAGCTGGTGTTTGTGTATCCTGGTCCTCAGTTTCCTTCCTGTTTGTCCAATGTAATGTTTATTGCACTCACTGCATGGTATTCTGTATATCACATTGGTCTTGTTTACTGTCGATATGGGGTCTTTAGTCTTTAATAACATTTGGCACAGTGTTGCTGTAGGTTTGTGTGCAATCATGATCTTACTAGGACTACCAGACTCCAAAGATCGCATAAGATCATGATTGGCAAGCTCTCCCTGGATCCCGTGAGATTTAACCTTACTCAACAACCTACCTTGTCAAAGGCCTTGCTAAATTCCACGTAGATAACATCGACCGCACTGCCCTCATCTACTTTCTTGGTCACCCCTTCAAAAAAACTCAATCAAATTCGTGAGACATAATTTCCAATGCACAAAGCTATGCTAACTATATGAAATAAGTCTTTGCCTCTCCAAATGCCCTAGATCCTATCTCTCAGAATCCACTCTAACAACTTAACCACCACAGATGTTAGGCTCACTGGTCTGTAGTTCGCCGATATTTCTCGGCAGCCTTTCTTGAATAATGGCACAACATTAGCTACCTTCCAATCTTTGAGCACTTTGCCCATGGGTGTTGATGATACAATTATCTCCATTAGAGAACCTGCAATTTCCTCCCTAGCCGCCCACAAAATCCTGGAGTACACGTCATCAAATCCCAGGGACTTATCTACTTTAATGTGTTTAAGATTTCCAGCACCTCCTCTTCTATAATGTGGACTCTCTTCAATAATGTGGACTCTCTTCAAGACACCACTACATATTTCCCAAGTTCCCTGACATTCTATGCCTTTCTCGACAGTGAATACTAATGAGAAATAGTCATTTAGGATCTCACATACATGACTTTGTTGAACTTTAAGAGGGCCTATTCTCTCCCTAGTTACTCTTCTGCCCTTCATGTACTTGCAGAATCTCTTTGGATTCTCCTTTACCTTATTGGCCAAACGCATCTTGTGTCCTCCTTTAGCTCTCCTGATTTCTCTCTTAAGTGTACTCGAACATCTTCCATACCCCTCAAGGAATTCACTTGATCCCAGTTGTCTATACATGTGATATGTGCCCTTTTTCAAAACCAGGGCCCGAGATGAGGCATTCCACTCCCGGACATCCCAGATGTCCTCTTATTTTCAAGGACCGCAACGTCCCCTCCACAGTGGTCGAAAATGCCCTCGACCGTGTCTCCCACATTTCCCGCAACTCATCCCTCACACCCCCTACCCGCAATAACAACCAAAACAGAATCCCCCTCATCCTCACGTACCACCCCACCAACCTCCAAATCCAACGCATCATCCTCCAACATTTCCGCCATCTGCAATCTGACCCCACTACCAAAGACATTTTTCCCTCCCCACCCTTATCTGCTTTCCGGAGGGACCACTCTCTCTGTGACTCCCTTGTCCGCTCCACACTCCCCTCCAGCCCGACCACACCCGGCACTTTTCCCTGCAACCGAAGCAAGTGCTACACCTGCCCCTATACCTCCCCCCTCACCCCCATCCCAGGCCCCAAGAAGACCTTCCACATCAAGCAGATGTTCACCTGCACCGTTTTGCGGAACACCTACGCTCTGTTCGCAACAAACAACTGCACCTCCCAGTCGCGAACCATTTCAACTCTCCTCCCACTCCTTGGACGACATGTCCATCCTGGGCCGCCTGCATTGCCACAACGATGCCACCCGAAAGCTGCAGGAACAGCATCTCATATTTCGTTTGGGAACCCTGCAGCCCAATGGTATCAATGTGGATTTCACAAGCTTCAAAATCTCCCCTCCCCCTACCGCATCCCAACACCAGCCCAGCTCATCCCCACCTCCCTAACCTGTTCTTCCTCCCACCTATCCCCTCCTCCCACCTCAAGCCGCACCTCCATCTCCTACCTACTAGCCTCATCCCACCCCCTTGACCTGTCCGTCCTCCCTGGACTGACCTATCCCCTCCCTAACTCCCCACCTACACTCACCTTTACTGGCTCCATCCCCGCCTCTTTGACCTGTCTGTTTCCTCTCCACCTATCCTCCCCTCTATCCATCTTCTATCCGCCTCCCCCTCTCTCCCTAATTATTTCAGAACCCCCTTCCCCTCCCCCATTTCTGAAGAAGGATCTCGACCCGAAATGTCAGCTTTCCTGCTCCTCTGATGGTGCTTGGCCTGCTGTGTTCATCTAGCTCTACACCTTGTTACCACAATATGTCTCGTCATCCGGGGTTCCCTAACACCTGCCAGCCTTACACTTCACTCTAACGGGAATGTGCTGGCCCTAGGCCCTCACTAACTCACTTTTGAAAGACTCCCACTTAGCAGATGTCCTTATCATACAATGCTATCAAAATGACCAACTCCCCCCCTTTTTATTTCTCAGTTCTACTCACATAACAACAGTGGACGAACCCTCAACACTATCCTCTCTCAGTACTGCCATGATGTTCTCCCTAATCGAAAACCCAACTCCTTCTCCTCTCCTGCCTCCCCCCTCTATCTTTCCTATAGCATCTGTACCCCGGCACATGGAGCTGCCAGCCCTGTCCCTCCCTCAGCCATGCTTCTTTGTTGTAAATATTTATCAATCCAGTCGAAGATGATTCTGTGGAACTGCACTCACTTCTCAGCGAAGGACATCATGTGAGGCGCCAGGCCTAGCTTTGTCTGTCTCCTAGCAACGACGGTGGGTGGGAGTCCATCCGGGTGACACCGGCAGGGGCGGGGCTCAGCGTGAGGGGGTGGAGCTGTGGTAGATGGGATAGGATTTTTGGTGTGAGGGGGCGGGGCGGAGGTTTTGGTGGGGGGAGGGGCCTGGGTTGTCGGGGGTCCGGTGGCTGTGACTGTTTCCGCTGAGGGTCCCTGCGGACGTTGGGGGGCGTGGCCGTTGTCGGGGAGAGCGTCGTGGAAGTGGGGCGGGTCCGGGGGCGCGGCGGGGATGCTTTGGCGTCCCGATGTTCATGGTGTATGGGCGGAGCTCAGTGCGAGTCACGGGGGGCTGCGGGGATGGGCGGGGCTAAGCGCGGGACGGAGCTCGACGTGTGGCACGGCGGGGCCAAGTGTGGGACGGGGGCCAAAGACGTGGTGGTTGTGACCTGCAGTGTGGTGGGAGGGGCGGGGCTGGGTGTGTCGGGCGAGTCGGTGGGCGTCAGCGGCGTGGCCTAAGGAGGGCACTTTGCCCGGACTTTGGGGGTGTGTTTGTAATTTTGCTTCGGGTGAGGAAGTCGGATGTGACGCGTGTGCCTGGTGACGTGGCGGCCGTGGAGTTTGGGGTTGTGTCGGGAAGGTGGGGGAAGGGGCCGTGGGAGGTCCGGGAGGGTAGGGGCAGCCGCGATGCTGGAGATGATGGCAGCGGCAGCGGCTCAGGGCAGCTCGGGATCGGCCAGTGGCTCCTCCGCCAGGCTGGAAGTCTCCATCGACGGCCTGACCCTGAGCCCGGACTCGGACGATGTAGAGCCGGAGAGCAGCAGGCAGCGGGAGGCCTCGGCCGCACACCTTCACTCCACAGCAACGGCGGCGGCAGCAACAACGGCGGCCGAGTCCGGGCCTGGAGCAGGCTTGGGTCTTGGAGGTGGATCGGGGGGAGAGAAACAGGACGATGGGGAGTACACACAGGTCGAGGAGATGGAGAAACGATGGGGCTTCAATCTGAATGAGCTCCACTGCCTGGCTCTCAAATTCTTTAAAGGTACAACTCCATTCCCTCAGCAAACGCATTCTCATTTCTGAAGAAGGGTTACTGGACCCGAAACGTCAACTCTGATTTCTCTCCACAGATGCTGCCGGACCTGCTGAAGTTTTCCAACAATTTCTGTTTTTTCCTTTCTCACTTCTTGTCGGATTGCTAGGTCTCCTATCCTGTTAATGGTAGAAATATATTTATTGTGGAAAAGTACAGTACAGAAGCACGCCAAAGAGGCCATCGGGATTTGTACCTATTTGGTTTCCTGTTAGTCCCACTCCCTTACTCCTTCCACATATCCTTGCAATTCTTTTTCCTTCAGGTATTTATCCAGTTCTATTCGCTGTGATATTAATGAATCTGAAAACCTCACTTCTGGTTATTTTATTAGTGATCAAAAATCTGTGTCCTCTGGTTACCAACCCAATGGAAACAGTTTCTCCTAATTATCCACACGCCTTGTAATTTTATGCCTGTCCATTAAGTTTCCCTATAATCTATTTGCCTCCTATTGGAGCAATCCTAGTTTTAGTGTCTCAATTGTACAGTATAGTTTGCACAAAAATGTGTATCTGTAAATATTAAAGGCACTATTTAAATGTAACATGCTTCACTGTAATTATGAACTGATTTCCTCTGGTGTGTTGCAGAAAGTTCAGATCAAATGGAGTGTTTGAAAGGTGTGATTAGAATGCTGAAGTGTAATTGACCAAATCAAAGTTTGGTCCTTGCTTAATTTATTATATTAAAACATCCCCATTTATAATGCCAATTAGTAATGTAACTTTGCAATGCTGCAACTGTCCCATTGGTGTCAAAGGTATCTTGTTGGTGTAATTATTGGTTGATGTAGCTTCAGTCATGAATGTGCATATAATGGGGAAAAGTTAACAGGACCTGTAAAATAATAGCATTCACTTAAATATGCAAAATATTTTGTGTACTTTTAAATGCTTCATAATTCAAAACATTTTAAACTTTAAAAAAAAGTCTTCCGTGGCTTTACCCTTCTCCAATTTCATATCCTCCTCCGTCTCTTCAAATCTCTGATCTCTGCACTCTTTTCTTGGTCTTTTTGGCATCTCGCAAAAGGGTAGACACATGAAAGTGAGGTTTTTGCTCATCTAGAGAAGCAGTTGGGCCCGAGTAGCCTGTAGCTGTTGTAAATTCATTGTTAAAGGTATTGTGTGAAAGTAACAACTGTTTATTCTGTTGGCCCTAGCCTTTAGAACTGAATGAGATTGGAGAGGATGTTTCAGTCACTGTTTTGTCTGTAACTTGATTAACTGACTTAGACAGATTCTGTTTGGGTTGTATAGTTCTCCTTTCCTGCCAGCTTGAATGTCCTGATTCTTGATGGGTCAGGGGATCTCCATAGAAGAGAGGTTAAGTGATCATTCTTGAGTTTGAGCATGTATAGTTAGTATGACTTGTTAGACTTGTGTTTGCATGGAGATACATGTAAACCTGTCCTAACTCACCTGAACTGTTGCCAGTTTCTATTCTAAAGTGTACACTTTGGTTTGCATTCCGCTCAGCCCGCCAGACAGTTGGCAGTACTTGAGTCATGTGGAATCATCCCGGATACGCTTGCTGCTTATCTGAGCAACAGAAATTAAAAGTGCCTTGCATAAAAGTATGACTCCTCAGAGGGCTGTACTGCTAGTACAGTACTGTTTGCAGTGTAATCAGTATTGTAAAGTAGTCAGAGGTGCTCTGATCTGTTCAAACACATTCCTCACTGTTTGCAGTTTATGGAGGAAGGTTAGTGTGCACAGCTTTATAACAAGTCATAGCTATAATAAAACCACATGGTTCGTTTTCTGATGACTGTCGATGGGCCATAAAGGATCCGTGTGAGTGAAGGAAGTCAGGCTTAGTTGTCTTTCCTTCTGCTTCCTCTCCCTTCCACCCTAGTCCATTTTGACTACTTCATACATGAAGGTTGAGCTCTGGTACCTGCGAGACCCATCCTCTCAACATGAGTCAGCACCTTCAACCGTGAAATGGATTGAGTAATATTTGTCTTTTCTCTTCTGTTATTGCTGAAACATTCCGATTGCATTTAAGCACAGCAGCTTCCTGCTTCCTAAAATGTTACTTTGTAGTTCCTAGTTGTTTTTCAATGGTGCTAGGAGCGGTTTGATATACACTTACAAACATTTTCTTCACTAGCTGCACAGTTACAATGCAAGCTTGCATTTTGCCACTGAATGTGGTACACGTTGTACCAGTCTCTGGCCTCTCTTGTTTCGAATGATCCTTAATCTCATTCTTGTTTTCAAACCCTCCAAGGTCTCCCTATCTTGATAATCTCCTGCAGCCCCACAAAAGATATTTGTACCCCCTCATTAGAACCCTTGATTTTCATTGGTCCATTGTTGGAGGTGTGTCTTTCGCTTCCAAAGCCCTGAATTCTGGATTTTTTTCTAACTTTAAGCCATCTGCCCTAATATCGTTTTAAGGATTCAGTGTCATATTTGGTTTTCTGACACTTGTATGGTGTCTTGGGATATTGATTATGTTCAGTTCATCTTAATAAAGGGTGTTTTTGTTGTTGCAATATATGACCGATTTAGTGATGTTGTTGACTTGCTTGCCAAACTGGCTTGTCCTCATTCAGACGTTTCGTCACCATGCTAGGTGACATCATCAGTGTAGCCTCCGATGAAGCGTTGTTATTCTACTCTGCTTGGAATCAATACTGTTTGGCTCTTTATGGTGAGTAGAGTCATTTCCGGTTTTGGTCTGGTTTACAAAATACCATGCAACGACTGCCGCAAACATTACATCGGACAGACACGAAGGAAACTAGCCATCAGAATACACGAACGTCAGCTAGCAGCAAAACGGCACGACAAGCTCTCTTTAATATGGGTACACTCGGACAATGAAGGCCATCAGTTTAACTTGGATAAGGTAACCATAGTAGCCCAAGCAAAACGTAGACACGCAGAGGAATTCCTAGAGGCATGGTTCTCCTCTCGTAATGCAATCAACAAACATATAGAACTGGAACCCATATGCAAACCCATACAGATCAAAACCGAAAATGACACTACTCACCATAACAGACCGGACGGTATAAATTTCAAATGGAGTAGAATAACATTGTTTCATCGGAGGCTCCACTGATGATGTTACCTAGCATGATGATGAAACAAGCCAGCTCGGTGAGCAAGTCGCCCACAACCCGATCTACAGATCTTTGCCAAAACTTTGACCAATTTAGTTCTGTTTGTCTGCTGGTGCATGGTTGAATAACTTTTTTTATAAACTACAAATAAAAGGTTTTGAAGATGTACTGGATTGAGGCAGATGTGGTTTAAAACAGAAGCTGCCTTAAACATCCTGATTGAAATTGTTGGAAAGGTTTCTGAGACTCCTGATCAACGCTAGAAGTTAAATTGTCAGGACCAACAATTTTTAATGTGCCTGTTGTCACTATGTGCGAATAGGGGATTTCGTTATCCTGTTGCTTGCCTTACGAGGTCCCATCTGGGTGTGACATGTGATATGTGTCAGTGAGCTTTTTGACTTGACAGTGTATTTATCAATTGATGGTCATATAGGTGTGTTCTCCAGTGCAAGCCATAAGTAGGCATGAATAACTTTTGTTTTCAGCACTACCCACGTTCAGGGCACTGAGACTGGTAATAAAATTTTCTAGTTAATATTAATCACTATAACAGTGTTTGGAGGAGTAGGCTATTTAGGCCATTCAGCCCTTCAAACCTGCTCTGCATTCAGTCACATTGTGGCAGATTTACCCCATATCACTCAATTCCCTTCATAGAAAAGCCGATCAGATTCTGTTAATATACTGAACGTCTAATCTTCCCTCTCTTGGGTAGAGAATTCCAAAGTTGCATCACTCCTTGAGTAAAGAAATTTCTCATCACGACTAAATTGCTGGCCCCTTAATTTGATACTATCCTCTTGATTCCCATCCAGGGGGTACATCGCCTCAACATTGATTCTGTCAAGGCCCTTAAAGAGTTCACCGTTCATTCTCTTAAACTGTAAGGAATACAGGTCTCATCTGATCAGGATCTCATCATAAAATAGTTATTTCATTCCTGGTATCAGTCTAGTGAACTTTCGTCGAACTCTCTCCCAGGCAAGTTCAGGTGTGCGCTCACCAAAGGCCTGTACAACAAAAGAAAATCATCTTGCTCATATGCCACCACTTCTGTAACAAAGTCTTTCCTGTTTGCTTGCTGTTTGACATGGTTAAGTATTGTGATTTTTATATAAGCACACCTAGCCCACATTTCCCTGTCTCTCCATTTTGAATAGTTTTCTTTCCTATTTTTCCTTCAAAATTGAATAACTTTGAATTTCCCAATTTGATATTCCATCTGCAATTTTCTTGCCCATGCAAGTCTATATCATTTTGCGACCAGTATTAACAAAACAATGACCAGATCATCTTCGACTTTTATTGTAAGAGCCTATGGTGCAGATCTTTACTTCCATGCTAATTGTATTGCAAATAAATTATACCTCAATATGCCACTGGTGGCAACAAGCACTGTAGAAATCTAACTATATGTTTTAAGATTATGTAAAATGCAATCTAAATATGAAAGCTGAGGCTTCCCTGGTGTGTATGGTTCAGAGCCTCAAATAGGAACAGCATGTATTTAGCATGTGAGTCAGGGATGAAGACTACAACATTGCTTTTGTTGACCGCATTTCACTTAACGCTGCTCTGAAATGGACTCACCTACCAATTGTTTTCCACATAAGTCTGATTGTCCTGTAATAATTAACAGGATGTTACTGGGATGAGGGTTTCCTGTTATAATTATAAACTAGTGAAATTAAGACTTTTTATTCCAGAGCTGAGGAGGCTAAAGCATGACCTCACCCCTTCAAGGTTATGAATGGTTATGATATAAATAGTCAGATTATTCCCAATGGTCACCATGAGAGTGATAACAAGAGCAAGTTAAGAGAGCATTCAGTGGAATGCATACCTTCGCTATACTATGTTAACTCAA